CCACGCCGGCCCGAGGATAAGTGTAGATGCAGAGGTAGGGCGCCGGGTCAGAGGGGCTGCGGCTGCGCAGGGTGCAACAGCCCGAGACCTCGGCCAGCAGGACCAAGCGCCCCGGGGCCTGGCTTCGGGCTTTGGGGGCAGCCGCTGGATGTGCAGAGCCTGTGGTGTGAGGGTGAGGGCGAAGCGTGTGCCTCGGGCTGGGTAGGAGCCAAACTCGCCATGCAGGAGTGGAGTGCTGGTGGCCAGGGGTGACGGCGGTGGCGGGGCCATGGCTCCGGCCCTGTCCTGGACAGTCCTAAGCCTGGGGCCCCAGCTCCAGCTCAGCTCCTGGTCTGGCGTCTGTGGGAAAGAAGGACAAGAGTCAGAATCCCCCACGTCAGGTGGAGGGAAATGGGCGGGGCCTGCGGACAGGGAGAGACAATGAGGAACAATCACAGGTGCACCGCAGACAGACAGGCCCAGACAAGTGTGGGGAGACCCCGTGGCAGCAGGGAAGGCATCGGTTGGACAGGAAAGCCAGCATCCTGGAGGGTCCACACCCAGGCATGCAAACATTCATTCATTCATTCATTCATCCCCTAAATAATTATTCAGTACCCTCCAGGTGCCAATCACAGTGCCAGGCCTAGCAAACACAGCAGGGAGCAAAATGGACAAATCCCCCTGCCTTCATAAAGTTTATGTTTTAATCAGAAAACAGAAAAACAAGATAAAGAAAGACAGTGTGTTGGATGATAAGGGCTTTGGGGGAAATCAGGCAAAAAGGGACATGCAGAGGCAGAGAAAAACAAAACCCACACACCAGTCACCTCCAGATGGAGAAAGTAACCTGGACACGAAGGAAAAGAGAGATGAGATCTGAGAGCCAGAGAAACGCTGAGGAGACAGACAGCTTAATGAAATGAAACCAGGCTGATACAAGACATGAGAGCGTAGGGTCGAAAAGACAAGGGAGAGAAAAGAGAAGACAGAGGCAGGAGGTAGAAGATGCAGACACCAGCAAAGAATGAGAAAGGGATGTGCAGCAGAGGGACTAAGGAGTCTGAGAGCCAGAGGAGCCACATGCAGGCACCTGCAAGGGGCAGGGTTTCAGAGCTGGGCCCTGAACACTGACCTGGGCATCTGGCGGCCTGTTCTGCAGGGAGGGACCGGGAGCCAGGCCTGAGGTCCCCTCCCCAGAGGCTCTCCCCCTGCCCTCTGCCGGGCTTCTGCCTGTTTCCGCCTCCTTACTCACCTTTGTTCCCCTCTGCCCCGCCCACCCAGCCACCTTCCAGTCCTGCCCCAGACACACCCCATCTGTGGCCTCACCCTAGGGAGTCACCTCTGCCCCCTGCCCTGGCAGCTCCCTCAGGCTCCCTCACCCCAACCCAATTCAGGTGCAGGCAGAGCCCTAGATCTCCCCCAGTCCTGGGTCCGAGTCCCCTGTCTCTACTCCGCAGGTCTCTGGCCTGGTTTCCATTCTCCCCACCCCCCCCACCCCCAGGTACCCCAGACCCGGGCCTGGGTCTCTATCCATAGGTCTCCCAATCCATAAGCCTGAGTCTTTATCTCCGGTTCCCCGTGTCCGGGGGGCCTCCTCTCCCCCATGCCCCTCCCCGATTTCCACCACCCGGTCCCAGACCTGGATTTCCATTCCTGGATCCTTCAGCCCCGGTTCTGCTTGTCCATCTCCATCCCACAGCCCTGGTACCCCAGTCCCGGGCCTGCGTCTCTCCGTTCCTCTTGGTCCCGCGGCCCCCCAGACTCGGGGCCCTGCACGGACCCCCGCAGCCTCCTCCCAAGCCTGGTCCTCCTCCAAGCTGCCCCTCCAGTCAGCACCCACCGCCCCCATCTGACCCTGGGGTGTGTGGGGAGGGGGGCGGGGAGTGTAGCTCCGCTCAGCCAATGGCCGTGCGGCTAGCCTGAGACGCACCAATGAGGGGGCGCGGGGGGCGGGCCCAGCGACGAGAGGCGGAGCGCTCGCGAGACCCGCTGCCATTGTAGTTGAGGGCACTGACGCACCCCGCCGCTGTCACGACTCCACCGCCAGGGACCAGGCGCCATGTTTGTTGAGGGCACACGGGCCAGTCCATCCATGGGATTTATGAGAGAGGAGGGGCCTGGAGGGAGGTCTTTAGAGGCAGATAGAGGGACGGGCAACAAAGACCCAGAGGTACGCAAAGGGCATTAGTAAGAGACCCAGAGAAGCATGTGCGAGGCCATGGCAGACTTGGAGAGAGAGTGTTGTCTCTTCTTAAGATAAAGAGAGTCAGCCCTGGCCGGTGTGGCCCAGTGGATAGAGCGCCGGCCTGCGGGCTGCAGGGTCCCGGGTTTGATTCCGGCCAAGGGCACATGCCCGGGTTGCGGGGCTCGGTCCCCAGTAGGGGGCCTGCAGGAGGCAGCTGATCAATGATTCTCTGTCATCACTGATGTTGCTATCTCTCCTTCTCCCTTCCTCTCTGAAATCAATAAAAATATACTTTTTTAAAAAAAGATAGAGTCAGGCAGACGCAGAGAGATAAACAAAGAGACAAATTCAATAGAATTAAGAATGTGCAAGGTTAGGACTCAAGAAAACCCAGAAGCCCTAACCAGTTTGGCTCAGCGGATAGAGCATCGGCCTGCGGACTGAAGGGTCCCGGTTCGATTCCGGTCTCTCTCATCCAGTGTTTCTAACTCTATCCCTCTCCCTTCCTCTCTGTAAAAAAATCAATAAAATATATTTTTTTTTTAAAAGAAAACCCAGAAAATGACAGAGAGAGAGAGAGAAGGACTGACACTTCTGGAATGAAAACCAGGGAGGAGAGGCTCTTTAATTCACAAATTATTAATAAGCCATCGGGATGTATTGTATAGCATGGGGACTATAGTCACATATTGTATTAACTCTGTAGGGGTGACAGGTAGTAACTGGACGTGTGGTCATTTTGTAATATGTGCACCTGGAACTAACGTAATACTTTTATGTCAACTTTTTAAAATGTCACAAACTATTTACCTTGGGCCCGAACCAGAGTGGCGCATAACATAAACTTCCGCCTAGTGAGTGACTCAGTTACGGGACAAGACAGAGTCACGGAAGGAAGATGGGAGATACAGTGCCTGTGAGACCGCTAGGTCAGGGGTGAACAGGAAGGGAATATTTTTTTAAAAAATGTTTTTATTGGTTTCAGAGAGGAAGGGAGAGGGAGAGAGATAGAAACATCAATGAGAGAGAATCACTGATGGGCTGCTTCCTGCAGGCCCCCCACTGGGGATCAAGCCCGCAACCTGGGCGTGTGCCCTGACCGGGAATCGAACCCAGGACCCTTCAGTCCACTGGCCGACCCTCGAGCCACTGAGCCAAACTGGCTAGGGCCAGGGGAGAGAATATTGAAGGCTCAGAGACTGGGAGGAACCGAGACCAAGAGACAGAAAGCAAAGATGTTGACAGAAACAGAGAGAGGCAAAGATCTGGTGAAGGTGAAAGAAATCAAGGCAGGAATAATATCGGGAGATGTAGAAACAGAATTGTAGAGAGAAAGGCACCTGTTAAAGGAGAGAGGGGCGGAGCTTGCTCTCTAGAAAGAGATGGAGGAAGGAGTTCACTTAATTGCCCACAATGTACCTTGTGTTCAACCCAGGGTGGCAACAGCACCAGGTAATATACATGCCTGCCAAAGGATGACCCAGAGAGAGAGGAACAGAAGCCCAGGAAGACGGAGAGACAGGGAAACAGCACTTGAGCTTGGGGCCCAGGGAGAAAGGCAGACACACGGACCAAAGGGGCTGGGGACTCAAAGACAGAGACCAAGTTACAGAGATGAGGGCACAGGGAGGGACAAGGGGGAAGAGGGAACTGCCCCCTGGTACGGTGACCTTGACTGCAGACAGACCCTTACCTGGTCCATGCTTCTCTGCTTCGAGATGTCCATTCACCTGCCAGCCCTCTGCTGTGTTATCAACAGGACGCTGGGCCTGCGTGGGAGGCCATGGGAGGGTGGTACGGTAAGGAGTCAGGCCTCATGGTTCAGCCCGGCCTTGGGCGCTGTGGAGGAGAAGTGAATAAGTAGGAGTATCAAGGGCGGACTACAGGAGGCCAGGCTGGATGGGTTTGAAGCCCAGGGCCTTTCCGAAAAGGGAGAAACAGAGAAGAGGTCAACTTTTTCACTGCCCCAACCAGTTCATCATGTCTGGGCCAATCAATAAATAGGGGTGGAGCCTAATTTTTTTTTTTTAATCCTCACCTGAGGCTATTTTTTCCACTGATTTTTTAGAGAGAGTGAAAGGAAGGGAGAGAGAAAAACACAGATACTAGAAAGACACATCAATTGGTTGCCTCCCACTTGCAACCCCCGAACCAGGGCCTAGGGATTGAACCTGCCACCCAGGTATGTGCCCTTGACCGAGAATCCCATTTGCCACCCTTTGGTCCTTGTGCTGACGCTCTAACCACTGAAAGAAACTGGCCAGGGCCTAATTTTTATTGAGCACTTCTTATGTGAGAAGCATTGTCCCATGCATTTTTACTAACTTATATAACAGGAGAATATCCTATGTGCCAGGCCTATGGTCACCCCCTCTTTGTAGATAAGGGAAGTCAGGCACAGAGAAGTTAAATGAGTTGCCCCAAATCACACTGTTATTGGAATTTTAATATTCCTATGTCTCTGCTCCTCCCTGGATCTCCTTTTCCCGCCCCTTTCTAGGTCCCCTCACCCCCCAAAGCCAGTGTTTGTCCACCACCCTTCTGGGTGCCTCTTCCTTCTCCCCTCTAAATCTCTGTCTCCCTCTAAGTCAGCGGTTCTCAACCTGTGGGTCGCGACCCCTTTGGTGGTCGAACGACCCTTTCACAGGGGTCGCCTAAGACCATCCTGCATATCAGATATTTACAACACGATTCATCACACTAGCAACATTACAGTTATGAAGTAGCAACGAAAATAATTTTATGGCTGGGTCACAACGTGAGGGACTGTATTTAAAGGGCCAGAAGGTTGAGAACCACTGTTAAGTCTCTCCTCCCCACTCAGAAATTTTTTGGCCCATCCCCGCTCTCTACCCCACCCCCAAGCCCGAGACCTCAGTCGGCCTCCTCTGCGCTCCAGCACCGTGCACATCCCTCACCACGAACCCGCTGGGCCATTTGAATCTCTCTGGCTGAGAAAAGCCGCCCCCCCGGTGGCAGAGGCTGCAGAGGGATCAGGGAAGGGCCCTCTGGGGGCAGAGGGAGCAGCGAAACCTAAAAGGTAAAAATGCAGGCTGGGCTGCAGCAAGGAAGATCTCGGGTTAGACCTCCAGCAGGACTTCCCAAGCTGCGGCCGCGCCTGGAAGCACAACACCAGATAAGACAGTCTGATAAGGAAATGACCAGAGCGCGGAGTCAGAGGTTTCCCCGCGGTCTAGACCAGCCCCTCCTGCCCCGCCTCCTCCTCGCCAACATTCTTCCTGCCCAGTCCTCCTGAAGTCACAGAGAGGTTGTCGGCTTCGGGCCAGAGAGTCCCGGCGCGACCAGTCCTCCCAGGTCCGCGCGCGACGTCTGTCTCGCTCCCAGATCCCTTTCTTCCGGAAGAGCATCGAGACCAGGGTCTGGGTAGGGCTAGAGAGGCCCCGACGTGCTGGCCCTTTTTTCTCTTTGGTTGTCCCGCCCCCCCTTATTCCGGAAACGCCCATCTAGCCGTCAGTCCGATTCACCATAGAGAAGCCCTACTCGCCTGAGCGTGCCGCGTCGCGCTAGTGTGACGTCACGTAGGCGCCGCTCGCTGCAGGCTTTCCCCGCCCACCCGGCGCCGCTCTCTCTTTCCGGACCTGGTGGAGCAGAAGGCGCCATCATGGTGAGTGCGCTTTGAAGGCGTTTGGGGCTCGGCCATCCGCCTCCATCCACCGCGGTTTCGGGTTGGGGGCGCGCCAGAAGAAGGCAGGGGCCCTGGGGGTGTCCGAAGGAGGCGATTCCCGTGGTGGCGGGGCTATTTAGGGGCCCCCGAAGAGCAGGGATGCGTCAGTCATGACAGCCTCCACCCCTCCCGTATTTCCCCATGATAGCTCCCATTGAATCGATGCCCGAGTTGAGGTACGAGGTGGCTAAGTGATACGACCGGGGTCAAAATGCCAGGAAGTGGCGGAGCCAGGATTCTAGGCGCTGGTGCCACAGCCATTCGGCCTCCGGCCTTCTGCCGCCCCTGCCCGGACCTGTCACTCCCCAACCCGAAAGGTTGGGTTCGGGGGGGTTGTCGAGCGTCCCGAGCCCGGGTTTTGGGACAGGCAGGTCTCCTTGCGGGTCTGGGCCCCCCGCCCGCCCTGTGATCTGGCTCCCCCGGCCTGTGCCCGACTTGCTCTATCTTTTTAATGGGAGCACAGCAGTCCTGCCTCTCAGGTTGGAGTTTGGGGAGAGGTTGTGTGACGTGCTCACCATGGACTCGTGCATAAGTGTTGGTTAAACGGCAGCTGTCATAACAGTCTGCAAAGGAAACCTCCCCGAAACAGGCCGGGGGAGTCGTGGGCCTTCCTGAGTTTTCTTAACGCTAAAGTGGGAACCTTCTTAGCCTGCGGTTGGTGGGAATGTTTTCTTCGGCCATTCTCCATGCGTGGGAGCAGCATCGAGAACTTACGCGCCTTGTCGGAAAAGTCAATTTACAAAGAAATAAAAATGTTGACTGAGGCAATGTGGCTACTGTGTTAAAACTTCCCCCAACGTGCTGGCTGCCACCTAAAGGCTTTGCATGTAGGGTTGGCCCCTTTGTACAGGGGGTCCTTTGAAGTCCAGAGAGTTGAAGCGACTTTCCCAGGGGTGGACCTGGGATTTGTTGTGTCTGCAGAGATGGGGCTCTGGCTCTCTCTGGGAGACAATCATTGGTACTGTTCACGGGGTGAGTAATCTGCAGCTCACAGTGGGGTCTGTGGTCCCCCCTTGACCCTGCAGGGAGTCGACATCCGCCACAACAAAGACCGAAAGGTTCGGCGCAAGGAGCCCAAGAGCCAGGACATCTACCTAAGGCTGTTGGTCAAGGTGAGGTGGGGGCCTGTGGCCCTTGGGCAGGGCCACCCCAAACCTGCAACGTCCAGGGCTTCCATTCTCGTGTCGCCCCAGGCTCCTCCCAGCGGCTTGCTAGCCGGGCTCACATCTCAGAGCTTCTGGAAGTTCAGTGCTTCCAGCTTCTGTGCTTTATACAGCTGGGGGGTGAGGGGGGAGGATTTTCTGGGGCCCTGACCAGGGTGGACCTGGGCTGGCTCTCCCCGGAGCTCCCTGAGATCGGGGAAAACCAGAAGGCATTTGTTTGCCCTTAGAACGTTGGGAGGGAGGGGAGCGTGGCCTGGAAGTTCTCGTTCCTCATTTTCCCTTTCCCTCCAGCTATACAGGTTTCTGGCCAGAAGAACCAACTCCACCTTCAACCAAGTGGTGCTGAAGAGGTTGTTCATGAGTCGCACCAACCGGCCGCCTCTGTCCCTTTCCCGGATGGTGAGGGGCTGCTGGGGGGACAGAGCCAGCCCCGGGAGCAACTGGATTGTGTCGGGAGCTGGGCTCTGGGAAGGAGGGTGGGCTTGGAGCTCTGACCCTCGGGTTATAGTTCAGCTCCACTGGCTTGGCTGCTGGGCCTTGTTTTCCTTCCCCTTGTGAGGTGGGGTGGCTACAGTGGCTTCCTGAGGTCATCCTGAGGCTTTGGGTCGTGCGACACAGGTCTTAGATGTCAAGGACCCTCCTGGGGGAGGTCTGTTGAGAAACCTGGAACCTCAGCTTCGGCCTGTGCTAGTGTGAGAGATGGGTGAGGGTGGGTTTAGGGCCAGCTGTCCTGGTCCTTGGTTGCCTGAAGCTGCGGGATTGGATTCAAACCCCAGGCGGGACTTAATGTGGATCTCCTCCCCCCAAAGATCCGCAAGATGAAAGCTTCCTGGCCGGGAGGGCAAAACCGCCGTGGTTGTAGGGACTATTACCGATGACGTGAGGATCCAGGAGGTGCCCAAACTGAAGGTGAGTGGGGAGGGGGTCTGAGTGGGGTGAAGTCCTGCTTCCCTGGGCAAGCCCCTCTGGGCGCTGCTGGCTGCTGGCTCTTGAGCCAGACAACCTGGGTTTGAGTCTAGATCTCTCTGTCACTCTGTCACCTCTGGACAAAGTCCTAAACCTTTTTTCTTTGTTTGTTTAATATGTTTTTTATTGATTTCAGAGGAATGGAGAGATGGAAATATCAATGATGAGAATCATTGATTGGCTGCCTCCTGCATTCCCCACTCTGAGGATTGAGCCTTCAACCCAGCCATGTGCCCTTAACCGGAATCAAACCTGGGACCCTTCAGTCCGAGGGCCAGTGCTCTATCCACTGAGGCCCTAAATCTTTTTATGCCTCAGTTTCCGTAAGGCGTAATGGCTTTGGATTGCTGCCTTCTAAGGAGTTTCTGGAAGTAAAGTGATAAAAACAGCTGTTGTCCGCTTGGGTTGCTCCCTCTAATAGGAGTTAGTTATAGGGCTGAGCAAGCAGCAGGGTTTCTCTGTGGGGCCAGGGCCGTGAACGTAAGTCCCAGCAGCCCCTGGTGGCCATGCAGGGGGCTCTGGCTGGACCTGTCCTCTGTGTCCCCTAGGTGTGTGCCCTTCGCGTGAGCAGCCGCGCCCGGAGCCGCATCCTCAAGGCTGGGGGCAAGATTCTCACCTTCGACCAGCTGGCCCTGGACTCCCCCAAGGGCTGTGGCACCGTCTTGCTTTCTGGTGAGCGATGCTTCGTCTCATGGTGGGCCAGGTCCTCGTGTGAGTGAGGGGTGAGCAGTGTGACTGCTGACAGACTCCC